AGACGCTTGTAGTTATGAGTACTAGCACAGCCCCTTACATTTAACAAGCCATGAAGTTAAAAAGGCAACACCGCAATCTTACGGCCAAGTGGTGCTGGTGGTGTTTGTTTGTATAAATATATATTTTTTATTTTATTAATATGAATCACAAAAAATACATAATTTATTGTACTAAAGGGCCAAAAACAGTAATTCAATGAATAATTTAACTATTTGTGTAAATAAGAACAGTAAATAATTGATTTAAATGAATATATTTCTAGAGTCTAAAGTGTTATAGGCCTATGTTTCAGTATGTCTTTTGAAAATCTAACTTTTTCTTTCTTCGGGATTTTTTCGGAAGGCAAGTCCATTCAAATACTTGAGCTGATTTTCGAAAATAAGAGGTACCTACTTTTAAGAGTTGGACGTTTTAGTTTGAACTCTCGAACTACGCCTTTATCCTTGTTTGTTTCAAATCTAATTATTTCGGTTTCTTCAAAATGTTTACAACACACCACAGAATTTTTCGTTATTGTTCTATGGTGGGTGAGCTAACGAGTACAAGTCAAAATTTTGCGAAAATGAGTTTAAGTCATTTTGGTATATATTTTCGGTTCCTACATCGACTGGTCCAAACAGTATACGTCAATTTATTTGAAATACTTTACTTTTAAATTCAATCCACATAGTTTAACTTAAAAGGAATTTTATTCTGTTGGGCATATCAGTATAAGTTGAATTGTACTATTTAGATTATACACTATTAATAAAATTCAAATAGTACAAGTAGACTTATACTATTCCTATCCTGATTTTGTCGGTCGACTTATACTCTTAGTACCATTTGGTGACCAAAGAGGTTATGTTATCAGCAAAAAAAAAGTGTTTTGTGAAAAAGAGTTGGCCTTCTTTTCCAGTTTTTGCAAATATCAAATTTTGGGTTGAGCAAAACTAGTATAAGTCATTTCTTAGGTCAGGTCAAAATATTATAAGTCATATTATCTTATTTCATAATAATATATGTCATCTATAGGTCTGGTCAAAAGAGTATAAGTTCATTTTTTTTTGTAATAAAAAAAAACAAAACAAAAAAAAAATAAAAAAATAGATTATCTCTAATAAAAAAACACCTTTGTAAAGTTAAAAATTCGATTCGTCCGAAACAGCCACAAAAAATCCGATTATCTTAAAGTCTAATATTTCGAAAGCATTTTTCTTGATTTGTCTAATTTTGACTTGTACTTTTTAGCCCACTCACCATAGGTATAATCTCGGGTATAATTATCTTGGTGTATTGCTTTCATCCACATTTTTTGCACATCAGAATTTTTTTGGAAATAAAAATGTTTGCATTTCTTCAGTTTTTAAGGAACTCCTAATAGTTCGATTTGCACCCAGGAACACAGTAGTTTCATGGCATCTGGAACAAGTTTAAATATCTTAGGTAATATATCGAGACCTATGCTCTTGCAGACAAATATTAATATTGTTTTTATTGTTTTACCTTACCTTACCTTCATTTTTGCTCCTGTACCGATTTGCTAAAAATTTGCAATCAAAGCACAAAGGAACAGGTATCAACTAAATATGGGCAATATATTGGTGTGTTTCTATCCACTTTTTCGTCAATAATGCCCATAAAAATACTAAATTGCAACAATACACAATGAAAGCAATACACAGAAACACATAACCCAATAACAAAATAGCACCATACGCGACGTTGCCGTCATTTCCAATTTCATGGCTTGTTAACTATAGGAGGCTGTGGTACTAGGCTATAGAATGGTGGGTCCATCGGTAAAATTTGATGAGAATAAAAACGCAGGGATTCTGTTGAAAACAGGAACACGTTCGATAACAACTAGTCATGCGGAATAAGAATCAAACTATTGCTAATCGGAAAACAGAGGAATTTATATTTTATGTGATTTATAGGGCTTGTTCGGGTTTGAGAAAAGGACGGTTCTAGACCGATTCAAAACAATCGCACAGTTTATTATTGAAATTTGTGATAAGTGCTGCCCCAAACAACACAAATAAGCAAACCTTTTGTTATCGAAATTTGCATTAGCCGAGCCGTTGTCATGGGTCGCGTTCACCAGCACTCAACATGTTGAGTAAGTAAGCGGCTATGTTCCAACAAGTGGAATACACAAGGTAGAACAGTATTGATTGGTCTAGAGCTGATTTTCATCTGTTCTCAACAAAGCTTCTGACCAGGGACCCGGACCGGAACGATATTGGACCGAAAACCGGAACGAAACCGTTTTTTTTTTGCGGACCGGAACCGGAACGAAACCCATATTTCATAGAAATGTTGTAGGGCAGGCAGAACCGGAACCGATATAAATTAATCGGTTCTTACCGGTATTTTTCGGTTCCAAGATTTTATAAATTAAGCTGTTTGCTGTTTGGTTGTATCATAATAAAATTAACACTTTAAAAAGCAGAGCGTTGGACATTGGACAGCGCGCATTTCTGAACTCGGCTAGGCCACACACCAAGGATTTTACATACTACTACAGGGTTGCTCATTGGCTTCGATTTTTGGAATCAAGTTCATATGTTGTTGAACCGTTGCCGACGTCATCAACGGTCTCGTTAGCGGTTTGCGTTCGTAGTTAAAAATATACATGTATGATGAAAAATATAATTCAAACTTGATTAACAAATAGTCAATAGACAAGAGGAAGATGCAAATGAGCAAATGAGATCTAAACAAGGGTTGTTTTAGAATAATAAATAATGTAGGTACTATGGTTCTAAACCGTTTCGAAATACAATCCAATCCACGTTTTAAAACCATTTCCTCGTGCCGAGAAATGATGACGTCATTGTGAAACTGATTTAAACCAGTTTTGGAAAATGTTTCAAAACTTTGAGACGCGAGAAAACACCTCCTAATCCGTGGTGCAACTGGTGCAAGCACTACGTCAAGGCGAGAAACGACACGCTGTTACGTCATCACTGATCGAAAACACAAACCACAAATTATAGAAACATAATTTTTTCTGTAATGACCGTTTTAAGGGATGCTTCTTGAAATGGTCAGTGCAAATGGCCATAAGATATTTGTGAAAAACTATACCGGTATGAACCGTTAAAACCGAAATTATTGGTCCGAACCGAATCGAAATATTTCTCTTAGAACCGAAACCGTAACGGAACCGATATTCGTCATGACGCTGTGGACCGGAACCGGAACGGAACCGATATTTCATTTCGGTCCGGGTCCCTGCTTCTGACTAATCACTTAACATGTTGAGTGCTGGTGAACGCGACCCTATTGATTGATAAAATTTCATAAAGGCCGTTTTACAGCTTGCAAGAAAACTTGAATGCAATTTTTTACATGCAAAAAAATTGCATTCAAGATTTCTTGCACTTCGTTTTACACCTTGCAATTTGACTTGTTTCCTTCTCTAACCTTTACCATACTTTTTTGTTTTTAATGTTGTGTTGTTGATGTTTGCATTATCCAAAAATAAAAAAGTGATTCTAGGCCTATTCGGGTTTGGAAAAAGTACGGTTCTCGATCGGTCCAGAAGAATCGCACAGTTTATTATTGAAATTTGTGATAGTCGAGTCGTTGTTATTTTGTTGATCAATAAACTGGACGATTGTTTTGAACCGTTCTAGAACCGTCCTTTTTCCAAACCCGAATAGGCCTTATAAGTCGATATAAAAAGAAGAAAGCAATAGCAGCAACTTTAAGCATCATAATTGCTAAAGGCCGTTTTACAGCTTGCAAGAAAACTTGAATGCAATTTTTTGCGTGCAAAAAAATTTAATTCAAGATTTCTTGCACGTCGTTTTACACCTTGCAATTTAACTTGTTTCCTTTTCTGACCTTATCCATACTTTTTTGTTTTTAATGTTGTGTTATTGATGTTTGCATTTTCCAAAAATAAAAAAAGTGAATATAAGTCGATATAAGAAGAAGAAAGGAATAGCAGCAGCTCTAAGCATCATAATTGCTGTAAATTCCCCAGCTTGCACGAAAACCTTCAAGAAAAATGGCACCAAACCGATTGCATGCAATGCCATTCAAGTTTCAAGAATCTTGCAGAAACCAATCAGCTGACTCACTTCTGCGCATGCCCTCGTTCAAGTTTCTTGCATATTGCAGATAGAATTGCAAGCTGTAAAACGGCCTTAAAAATTCCCCAGCTTGCACGAAAACCTTCAAGAAAAATGGCACCAAACCGATTGCATGCAATGCCATTCAAGTTTCAAGTATCTTGCAAAAACCAATCAGCTGACAGACTTCTGCGCATGCCCTCGTTCAAGTTTCTTGCATATTGCAGATATAATTGCAAGCTGTAAAACGGCCTTAAACAAAACCAATTCTTGAACGGAACCAAAACTTAGTTGCACAACTGTCTCAAGCGGTCCTAGAACTGATCCAGAGCCGCTTTCCAGTAACAAATTTTAGGTCTCAGCTGGGATCACGACAAGTAGCATTCTACTTTCATGTCGTCACTCGTAATATTTATCGCGTACAGTACAGGCTCTGATGACGGTTGCTAGGCAACCTGACGTCATGAAAGTAGAATTCTATCAGAATTCTACTTGTCGTGATTCCAGCCCAAGGAAAATACACACTCTAAGGAGTGCTTATCGGCCTCGTTTTTGCTAATCGCCGCCATATTGGTTTTCAACCATTGCTGACGTCATAACTAAGTCGTCAGCTGCTTAAACAGCCTACGTCAAGGCGAGAAACGCTATGCTGCTTACGTCAAAACTGGTTATTGTTTGGCTTGGGGGGAAGGGAGGGATTTGTTACACGCAGGCCTTATGAGGATAGGCCATCTTGTAGTAGTAGTGTGTATCATCCTTGATCCCAGCCCAGGGGAGAGGAGAGACGAACAGGTCAGTTGCGCGAAACTTTGAAGCTCTGGAACGCCTATAAACAGCCCGGCGCGCTCTAGAGCAGCTCAAGATAATGCGCGACTGGAAAACGACTCTGATCAGAATCATAACAAAGCTCGAGTTATTGAACGTGCCTTGATTGCGTTGGCAGCTCAGCTGTCGTCGTGTCGTCACCCACTTTTTTCTTTTTCAAAGGACCGTCTGGCCTAGCACATAAGAATTTAATTAATTTTCCAAACTTTAGGTATGTTTTAGACTACATACATATGTATTCTAGAGAAAAATCGACTATTTATGTTACAAAATATTTCTAAATAAAAACTAAAACTGTTTTACTCCATACACATTTTATTGTGGAGTGGACGAGTACTGAGTAGACGAAACACATTTTCTAACCTATAAATAAAAAAGAAAAAATTATTTTCATTGCAGAACAAAAAATTGACGATGAAAGACCTAGCCGCTGATATTTGGATCGCAAAGAAGGTCTACGATGATGCTGAAACGGCTCACTTTGAAAACCAATCCAGGGTAAGTTCCCACATAAATTTTCATTAAAATATCACTAGATTAAATTCATCTTTGGAGTTTGGAGGATATCACTTGCAGTGTTGGCATTCATTATTATTATTATTATTCACAATAAATATGAAAATGTATAGAATAAATATTCAGTAAGTAAAAACTACATATATTTTCCAAAACTAAATGTTGGGTATCAGCAATATTTCTTACATTGAACCCTTTGAATAAACACAAGATATGGTGTAAAAGCGTAATAAAGTTCTGTCATCTACTTCTACTAATACTTGAATATACAAAAATATCAAGAAAAATGTACCATACTGTGACTATTGTGTTTGCTTGTTCTCATTCATTTCAGTAAAGTGCACGCTCAGTAAGCTTTGTAATGTCTGATCAAAATTGCAAATTAACCCAAACTAACCGGTTTATTATCAGCAGGTTTGGTAATGTCTGATTTGATTGAAATTGCTAACTAACTGAAGACTTATTTTCTGAAATACTGGAAAATGGTGTTTTCTGCACGCTTGTAGAAAAATCTATATTCTACATTCTAGTATGTGGTGGTCGAGGTGGCGGTACTATACAAAATCTCTATTTTTATTATTCTGCAGAATGGGATTTCTCTTCGGGTTCCTCTTATAAAATTACAATTATAGTAGAAGTAGACTCTCGATTATCCGACCCTATTTCCGATCGCTTGATTATCCGTATTAACCGAGCGCTGCCGTATTCTTCGAGCATCAGCAGGCCTAACTATTTACAAGAAATCCCAAAGTTTCCGAAGCAATACAAACTGACTGACCTGATGAGTACAGGAAAGTCACATTTCTATCTGCATACCTATGTGATTGTGTTCATATGTTTTAATAAGTTACATATTTAAAAAAAATCTGGATTATCGGAGCCGCCAATCATCCAAGCTAGGGTAGAGCCCACGTTAGCTGGATAATCGAGAGTCTACTGTATTCGCTTTTGGACAGGGAGGGGTTAGCAACTGTCCTATAACATTTTATTATTTTTTAATAAACCACTAAACGGTCATTTAAAAATAATAAGACAGCCATCTGACGGTCATATAGCCTCTTCCTTTCAAAAAACACCAGCCAGGGACAAGTCATGATTACCTATATAACTACAACTTCATTCCCTATTCCATACTCTTCAGGCACAGCTTTCTCTCTATTTTTTACCAAGTTCATTCTTTTTTCATTATTTCTCGTATCAAGTTCCAGTCCTATTTTATCTGTATTCTTAGATTTTTTATTCAAACCCAGATTCAAACCAAACAACAACATGCTAGAACTAAGCAGTGCTAGAACTATGCCTTGTACTTTGACTAATACTATGGTTTACTGCTCGGTTTTCTGTAAATTATGCATCATGCAATACCTCTACATATCGGGAGTCATAGTCATTTTTGTAATCATGGGACCAATTCTTTCATTAATAAGTTCTACTGTTCGTTGAATGGAAACTTTTTGAATACTTCCGAAGTAAACGCAGTACCTTGATCTGTCACGCTTCTATTGGGCATAACATAATGGTTTGATTTTGGAAATGTTTCATTATGAAGTTGTAGTTTTACATGGGTCAACCATGTACAGGGTGTCCGAATTTGATGGTTTTGATAGGAAACGTCAATTTCTGAGCGAGATACAAAAAAATGAACCCCCCACTCCGAGGCTCAAATTTCTTGAAATTTTGATTGGTGCAAACCGCATTTTGATATCTTCAACCGTTTAGCCGCTAGAGGGCGATTCTCGATTTTGAGCAATACTGTGAAATCTTCATAACTTTTTTGTTTATAAAAATAACTGATTTCCGTAAAAACTTTCTAGAAGCACTTTTTCGAGCAGAATTCAGTGACGTTTTCAGTTTTTTTCTATTGGGCCTCGATTTCAAGATATTGACCAAAATCCGATTTTTTTCAATGGGACACCCCATATATTAATAGTTCATTGGAAAGTTCTGCTTTTGCTGATTTCAATGATACAAATTTCGATAGGTTTATCTCTAACAGTTTTCAAGAAAAAAAAAAATTTTCTGCTTTTGTCATAAGAAACAATGAGTTAGAAAGAGACCTTTCTCAGTTTCCTTACAGATATAAAGTCCTTTTCTTACACATTGCTTCTTATGACAAAAACCGAAATAATTTTTTTTCTCGAAAACTATTAGAGATAAACCTATCGAACTTTATATCATTGAAATCAGAAAAAGCCGAGCTTTCTAATGAGCTAATAATATATAGAGTGTCCTATTGAAAAAAACCAGACTTTGGTCAATATCTCAGAGTTGGGACCAACTAGAAAAAAACTGAGAACGTCACTGAATTCTGCTTGAAAAAATGCTTCTATAAAGTTTTTACGGAAATCAATAATTTTCAAAAACAAAAAAGTTATGATGGTTTCACATTATTGCTTAAAATCGAGAATCGCCCTCTAGAGGCTAAACGGTTGAAGATATCAAAATGCGGTTTGCACCAATCAAAATTTCAAGAAATCTGGGCCTCGGAGTGGGGGGTTCATTTTTTTGTATCTGGCTCAGAAATTGATGTTTCCTATTAAAACCATCCAAATTCGGACACCCTGTACAACAAAAAAATATTTTTGATAGGTACCATTTCTATATTTCTCCATAAAGATCATTATGATAATGAGTATCAAAAGGAACATTTCCATTAGAAATACAATGAGAGTTCTCCCTATATCTTACCTCTTCTAGGTGAAAATTGAATGGGTACAACTTGACAGTTTGCAATTAATTTTGTATCCGGTATATTGTGTGGGGAATATGAAATAATAGACATTGAACAAATAAATTAAAATTAATTTATTTCTATTTTACAGAACTAAATAACGCTAAATGACAAGTTTATTTGGCTCGTTATTTGGTTTTTAGTATTAGTCACACACGCTCGGTTATTTGTGCTTATCATCAAATATCATTGAAGTATGTGAAGTTTGATGACAGATCTAAATGAAAATTTCACCTAATACATATTTTAGATTAAAACTAATACATCTTTATAATATAATCATTAAGAAGGTACTCATCAAACTTTTTTGGTGTAGGCTTCCTTAACACCTCTTGCTGAAGAAGTGGCCAAAGCACGCCAGAAGTTAATCGAAAGTAGGGACATATTTGCTGTGAGTAATGGATCACAATACATTCTGAAATTTTAATCTAATATCAATTAAGTAAGTGCATGGAATGTGAGAAATTGTCATTATTTGGTACTATCTTTAAAATTTCAATTTAAATTAAAAATACTGTTTTTTGAAATTTTTGATACCTAATACTGTTTTGTTTAACAATATTCTTTAATTTTAGACAATACTCAACTAGGTTTAAATGGATTTATAAGTAAAAAGTGGAACCTGGTTTTCTGACATCTCAGTTGTAATGTAACATGTAGATCAACCACATTCCATTGATTGAATTGGATAAGAATTACACATTGTATTTGGTGATTGTTCTTATTGTAATGTAATAAATTAATGTGTATGGGGATTCATATTAATGTTGCTTCTTAGTGTTATCCTTGTACATTTCTGGTCTAGTTGGAATGTGTCAAATATATACAGTGTGTCCCAGGGAAAACAGTCCACCCCGATTTATTGGGTTTGGGATGAGAATCCGGGAAAACGCTCGGACACGTCGATGTTTGATTTGAGGGGGAACTATTTTTCAGTTTTTTTCATCCCCGTAGCTTCAACCCCCTAGCTAGGGGGAGAACAACCCCCTAAATTTGAATAGGGAATAGGGGTCGTGTCATACCTCTTTTTAAAGGTCTCATCAAGTTCTTTATGGCCCTAGAATTTCATCTTATTCTTTTCATCCGTAACGAAATGACAGCTTGTCAAAATCTTGGAAATGGACTATGTTTTAGTAGGAGTAAAAGCTGAACTTACCTCCCTTAATAAAAATATGATTAAAAATACCTACAATTTACAATTCTCGTGTACACCTCAATAATAATAAGAAAAAACTTCATTTCAAGTATTTTCATTAGGGGAGGTAAGTATCGCTTTTGCTTCCACTAAAACTAATAATCTATTTCCAAGATTTTGACAAGCTGTCATTTCGTTACGGATGAAAATAATGAGACGAAATTCTAGGGGCATAAAGAACTCAATGAGACCTTTAAAAAGAGATATGACATGACCCCTGTTCCCTATTAAAATTTGGGGGGTTGTTCTCCCCCTAGCTAGGGGGTTGAAGCTACGGGGATGAGAAAAACTGAAAAATAGTTCCCCCTGTAATCAAAAATCGACGTGTCCGAGCGTTTTTCCAGATTCTCATCCCAAATCCAATAAATCGGGGTGGACTGTTTTCCCTGGGACACCCTGTATATTCCGTTAAAATGCATTATGAGTTGCACTTTAATCTTACCTTCTACTTTTATTTGTTTTTTGGCCAACGTTGCATATTATCATGTAGGTACCCTCTATTTCCACAATTTTTATTTTTCTGTATTTTACGTGGGTTATAGGACTTGGCACAAAGAAAACTCAATTTTCACTTGCTAATGTTTCTTACATATATTAATACTTTTTCGAACCTTGACACAAAGAAAATATACAGCTGAATATTTTCTTTTGTGTAAATCTTAATTATTTAATTTGAATATGTTCTATACCAACCCATAATTTTAATGAGCTGTGGTTCCTGTTCTCCTATGGCGTGTGAAGACTAATTGTTTTACGAGGTTTGAAAAAGTATTAATATGTACAAAACGTTATCAAGTGAAAATTGAGTTTTGTGCCAAGTCCTGTAACCCACGTTGAATCCAGAAAATCATTTATCAGGACACAAAATCAACATGAACAAATTTTAATCTTATAGAGCTGTTTAAAACGTAAGACTAAATGCATGATGTTGTTTTTTTAATCTAGTAGGGATAATCAAGAAATAATTATTGGTGAAGTAACTGTTCAATGCAAAAATTGTAAAATTTGATCTATTTAATATTTTTTGCTTTGGGATGGGTTAAGTAGTTAATGGGATGATTTGACAAAGAAGTAATTTAGAAGCTTCAATTTATTTTATTAAGAAAAATATGCAATTTTTTTCTTTAATAGTAGGATATGGTTTTGATCAAGTCCAGAAAAATTCTTCAATTTTAAATATTTGTAGATGAAAAAAATTAAATAAAATGCATTCCTAGGTATACATAAGACACAGACACTTGTTTCTTGAGTAGAACCAAAGTGTGAATAATAAAAACAACTGTAACACAACAAAAACATTTAGAATAAGAAAATAGGTTTGAATCCAGCCAAATGATTTTATATCAAATGCCTTTGTCTGAGCCTCTGTCATACACCTAGAAGATATTGTTCTTATTGCTTTTTGCATTTTGAAAGCTCCTCTGTAACCTGTTCTTTTGTTTATTACCTTGGTGTGTATTTTCAGTAATCTCATCCAATAAATATTTTTTGTAATTGACCTGTTTATCAAATATTCTAAAATGTCTGAAGACTTTGGGAAGAGGGGTTATGTTTACATCCTCTAAGTTGTAATACATGATTTTTTTTTGGTATATAATGTTAATGGACCAACAGCAACGCCTTGCTTGCTAGGATTCACTGTGTACTACAAAAATTAGTTTCATGTAGGAACATACTTAGTCTCATAAAAAGTGTTTTCATCTACTCACCCAAGACAGTCCTATTTTTTCAATTTTAAGTTGACCTACAAAAAGTTGTTATATCATTATTTTAAATTAGTTCACAAAATTTAATAAAAAAAAAAAAACAAATATAACAGGTTGAAAAGTACAGCAGAATAAATTGGAAAATTTTTATGTTAAGAATATATGTATATATTTTTTTTATTGTAAAGATATTTTCTAAGCCATATTTTTTCAGAGTGGTGATACTAGTGTTGGTTCTTATGACGCAGAAGCATTGAGCTTCATTCAAAGGAAGGTTGTTGATTTTGAAAAGGGTAAGAGGAAGGCCAATAATAGTAACAGTAACCTCTTCAAAATGAGCTTTATTAATATTTAAATTATATAAATCCCTGCAGCTATGAATGAAGTCCTGATGAAACTAAACACCATTGACACTAGAGTTTCTGTCCTTGAGAAACTAGCAACTGTTGCTAAACCAGTAGTTCACGAAATCAATGTTGCCAAGCAACCACCAGCTCAACAGAAGGATACCAAAGCTGACGATGATGATGATGTTGATCTATTTGCCTCAGATTCTGAGGAAGAGTCAGAAGAAGCTGCCAAAATTAGAGAGCAAAGATTAGCTGCTTATGCTGCCAAAAAATCCACGAGTAAGTCATTGAATAAACTCCGCAAAACTGAATCTTTTTCCCAAAATTAAAATTGACTGCAAATGTTGCAACACCTACTAGTTATGTTTCTTCCTGACAAATTTGATGTACTATTTGTTTTAATCTTTAATTTTGTTTGCTAAAAGTTCAATTCCGGCGGAGCTTAATTGGTTTGCCATGCTTTTCATTTAACAATTTTCATTCTTCTTTAGAACCAGTTCTTATTGCCAAATCAAATATTATCTTGGACGTCAAACCATGGGGTGATGATACAGACATGAAATCGATGGAAGAAAATGTAAGAAAGATTGTAGCTGATGGTCTTTTATGGGGGCAAGCAAAATTAGTGCCTTTAGCCTATGGTATCAAAAAATTACAAATATCTTCCGTAATAGAAGACGATAAGGTTTCGGTTGATTGGATGACGGAAGAAATAGAAGCCATTGAAGAAGTAATGATACTTGTTTTCAATTTAGAAATTTATTTAAGTTGAAACTCTTTGTTTCAGGTTCAAAGTGTAGACATTGCAGCGTTCAACAAAATTTAATTTTCTTTTCTCAATTTTTACAAGTTTTATTTTTTCACATCTTATGATCTTTGAATGAATAAATACAATATTTGACTTTTAGTCTGTATCTTTATTTCTTACCAATTGAAAAAATATTGTAGATAACAACACTATGTTGGGATGGTTCTGGGTTTATCTTAGGTCTGATCCAACACATCGAAAAACCCTCCCATGAACGGTTTCGAAACCACTCAGTAGACGAATTTCGGACTCTACGCACAAATTTTAGGTTTTGCACAGAACCGTGACGGTACATTGTACGGTTTCCTGCTGTGTTGGAACAAAGCTCTTGTATCTTTCTCATTGTTTGGGGAAAATAAAAAATACACTAGAGCCTAACTTTTCTATCTAAAAAGATTTCTGTAATCAATTCTTAGTAGAAAAACCACAAAAAAAAACAATAGCATATTGAAAAACATTTACGAAACCATTGAGCGTTCGGGGTTTTTCTGTAATTTTGTTTGATAGTTTTCTGGATCTAACTTTATTGTACTATAAACTGATCTAGTTTTTGAATTTGATAGTTTGGAGTGAACTCCTGCATGTACAATTTCAAGCTGGGTCCAGACTATATAGCAAACATGGTTAGATACAAAGTTATAAAACAAATGTGTTTTCAAATTTTTAAAAGTTTGTTCTGTAACATGTATTTGTTAAGTCTGAACAGGTACCTATCCATGCCCTTTAATTCCAATAGGCTTTCACGGCAGGAGCTTATCGCTGTCACCGGCAGTGAAGAAGACGAAAGAGCTAAAAAGTGTTGCACTCGCTTTGCTATAGTTGTTGCCTGTATCCAAACTAAAGAGAGTTTCGCATCATGATGTATGAGCCTAACGGCCCGTTTATTCACCTTCTGATAAGCTGTCAGGTATGCAATCTGACGGATAAAATTGATAAAAATGCAATCTGTAACCCCATTGGTCGGCCAGTTATCCGCCGACCAATAGAATTATAGAACGGTGAATTTATCGTGCCGATATTTAGCAGCAAATTTATCTGCAGGTGAATAAACCAGGCCTTAATCAGAGAGAATAACAGTCTTGGTTTTAATTATTCTAAAATCAATCATATTATTGTTGATAAGAGCTGTTCATAGATGGCGCTCATAGAATAGAATTCTGTTATTGCTCCTTTGTTGGAATAAATTCATTACCATGGCTCTGTATAAACTATCCCAAAAATTCTAATCGAAAAGTCTTACATGAGCATTATAATTAATACAGTGTAAAGAAAAATTGGCCAATGGGGGGCGCCAAACATTTTATGGCTGTTTCCAAAATCTAATGGGCAATGGAATTTGACGGAAATTGACTGATGATATAACTGATTCCAACTTCCAATTATTATTCTCATTATTTTTGTGCCTACACCCAGAAAAAAAAAATGTAACATTGACAAAAATACTATTATTGAATGTTAATAATAAGAAATAATTCATTGTCTACTATTTGAAAAAAAAAAAAAAATATATATATATATATCCATCTTCGAGCAAATTTCAACACTTTATTAACAACAATCGATACGCCATCTATCAATGAAAAGCTATAATAATTTAGCAACAATAGGTACAACAGTAACCTTTCAATGTTATTCCGACAGGTGGCATAGCCGAATATGACATTCCTCATGGTAACAGGAAATAGGTTTTTTGAATTTTTGTCTTAGGTGCTCTCCATTTTGTTTCGCACGTGAAAGGGAAGAAACGTCCCGAAATAAAGTAGAATTAAGAATGTAATCTCTCTAATATTTTATAATTCTAATTAATGTTGTGTTTGTTTGAACAACTTAACATATATTTATTGTGACCAATAAGTGGAAGGATGTCTCCAATGTTGGCAAAGGTAGTCAAAAGTCCATTATGTGATTGACTCACTTTGCACACAGGGTAAATATTCCCTTAATTCAGTATTGCCTATTATTATCTAACATCTTATTTTCAAATTGTAGCCTTGAGAAAGAAAATAAACATTTTCGAAAGCTTGGCGTAGCCGAAAAGAGTTTTTTATTGAACTAGTCCCGAAGAAATAGGCTGATACCCCAAGAAATTAATAACTTTATATATATATATTTAACACCATATCATTCTACCTATTAACTATATTAATATTGCTAATTTCATAATTATCGTTTCGTTAAATATATAGAGGCATATTGTTGCTTTAATGAAATTAACTTCACTATTAATAACAGTGTCATAATGCAGACAGAAATTATATTATTGTCATCATTAAAGAAACTAGCGGGAAGCTGATCTACGATCGGAAAATCCGCATCGATAATAATTTTGAAAAATCAACAATAAGCGCCTGGGATCGATAAAAAGTGCATTTTCTCCTTAGGAGAGAATCGCAGATGCTGCAGATCTTTTTCCAACGACAGTAGCAAAGCTGAATTTTGGGTCCGCAGTATGGGAACAGCTGAAAAAATTATTGGGAACAAGGAAAAGCAGGACCACTCCGAGAGGCACAATGGGACAATCAATAAACATTTCTTGATGTTTGTGGATGAAATTCGTGTTGGGAAATGGACTAAGAAATAAAAGAACTTGTTAATTATCGATATTCAATATATTTATTATATCGAACACAGCGTGGAAAGCAGACCGTGTGAACTCATAGAAATAACTATACGAACTGACTCAACATCAAGACAAAGAATTACAAACCCTTTCTTAAGTAAACGATTCCTCATCTGTTTATCTTACATATAAAAATTATTATAAACACATTCAGTCATCCATAGCTGCGATATAAATTAGCAAAGTATAGGCTAATAATCAAAGTTTAATTTATTAATTTTTGTTTCACTGATATAAATATCAGTTTATCCAACACGCCACCTCAAAAATTTGATCAATTATACTAAAAGTGTAATACAACTTAAACCTAGTATAACATAAATAGGCCTGCTTTCCTTATGTGTGTCTTTTGTGGGAAAAATTACGGTCCAGCATTTGCTGCTCGGGATTAGGGAAAACCCAGAAAAACCTAATCAAACCATTTAACTTATTTACTAAGCCTAATTCCATTCTAATTTCTCAAATTTCACTTGCATCAATGGTTTGGTAAACATGTCTGCTGGTGGTTTCTCTGTGGACAAATTAATATTTTATAATAATTACGATCAATTCAATATGATTTGATCTTTTGTGATTTGTTGGATTATTTGTAATACTTATTGAGGTCTATTGTTATCCTCCTAGGTCATAATTGACTCTGATATTAATATTTATGCATATTTTCTGCTAATGATTTTAACCAAAGAGCCTCTTCAAAAAGAAAAACCATATATTCGGCTTCAGTAGATGATGCCGTTACTGACAACTGCCTTTTTGTATTCCAACATATCACAGAAATTTCAAACAGTTTAAATAAATATCCTGTTGTGCTTTTATATTGATTATATTATCATCTCCAGCTTCCTAGTCAGGATTAATAGAATCACTCAAGAAAATGATACAGTCACAAGTGAAATATTGTGTCAACTTCACATTGATTTTACCCTTAAGATATCTAAAGACCATTTTCAAATATTGCCAAAACTCTTTATTATTCTTGTTTTAATACCTGCTCAAAATATTAACAGTGGTACTTAAATCAGGCTTGATATACATAACTTAATATACATTAAAAGACGATTAGATTCCGGCAAGGGCCATCTCGTTTTTCTCCTGAATTTAAACCAATAAAATTCAGTTTACTAGGAAGTGGAGTGCTGACACAGCTGATGGCACAACAGTCATTCATATTAAATTTATGTAAAATAGTTTTCATGTACATTTGAACTGTACCTATATGAAAATTGATCAAGACTAATTTTATTTTTGATTACCTTTCAATTTTATTACCCAAAAATAGTTTACTGTCTTTCAAATAAAACATAGAACAGTTATTTGCCAAATCCCTTTTAAACTATTCAATGGGCAGTGTGAATAAAAACTAAGCCTTCACTTTTAGTATTAAGTGATAGCTTTAGTTTTTACTAGGTAGATTAAGCTTTTGCTAATAGCATTTGCTGAAATTGAAGTGAATAACCTTTTCCTTTTACTAACTAGCAAAAGCTAGATATTTGAAGCGTTTACTGAAAATACGGAGATTGCGTGAAATTTCTACAGCCTTCTCAAAAAGTGTGTTTGCGAGTTTTTATACTGATAAAGCCGATATTTATATTTTTATAAACCGGAATGGTATGAGGTTTGGTTCCAACACGTCAAAAACCGCCCCATGAACGGTCTAAAAACCACTCTGTATAGGAAGTTCGGGTTCTACGCACAAATTTTTGGCTTTCCGCAGAATCATGACGGTAGATTGTACGGTTTCTTGATGTGTTGGAACAAAGCTATGACCGGCGGCGTGAAAACATTGAAAGAAGTCAATAATTGGGTACGTTCACCAGTACTCAGCAGCTAACTTGCAGGGTAACGCAGTTGAGGATAGTTGAGACACAGCGGATCTGAATTTCCTGAACGCCTGACACTTCTGCGCATAGATTGAGTTGGTAAGCGTTAATTTTTACCGCTTAGAGAAATCGGCAGGACAAAAAGCGGCTTTTACTGAGCGCCGCTGAACGCGATAGGGTACGATCACTAGCACACTGTTGCCAACAGTTGAGTAGTAGGGAAAAACAATTCGCTCAGTAAAAACCGCTTTTTGTCAGCTGCTGCCGATTTCTCTAAGCGGTAAAAGTTTACGCTTACCAACTCAACTTATTGAATTGTCATTTGTCATAACTCTCAATTATGCGTTCAGGAGATTTACATCCGTTGTATCTCAACTGTCCTCAACTGCTTTACACTGCAAGTTAGCTGCTAAGTACTGATGAACGTACCCGTTTAAATAAGTAGCGGTATCGAACGCCAGCGCGACAATTCTATAAGTTGAAAAAATACTAATAGTCCATTTTCTTGCAGTGGAGCTTTGTAAATTACAAAAAGAAGACTGAATAAGTTTTCTTTTTGTAATTCTGATAGTGATTTGTTGGAGGAGGAGGTTCCTGAAAAATCTTCAGCCAACCTCGAATTGAGAGACTGTGGTATTCCTCGGCGACCTCGGCACGACT